TTTGGAAGTGCGTGTCTTTTGACTTGACAAGCGGCCAAATAACAGGGAGACAATCAATACATGCATAATACATGAGAGGTTATGCCCCTTGGTCGAAGGCGCGTCCTTGCCGACGCAACCCATACCTAACATTGCGTCTTAGAAACAGGCCCAGATTTTGGCGAGTTGCCGACGGAAGTTGTGTGTGTGAGTGTGTGTGTGTGTGTGTGTGTGTGTGTGTGTGTGTGTGTGTGTGTGTGTGTGTGTGTGTGTGTGTGTGTATGTGTGTGTGTGTGTGTGTGTGTGTGTGTGTGTGTGTGTGTGTGAGAGAGAGAGAGAGAGAGAGAGAGAGAGAGAGATAGAGATGGAGAGACAGAGACAGCGACAGAAACAGAGACAGAGAGAGAAGGAGAGAGAAGGGGAGAGAGAGAGGGGGAGAAAGAGAGAGAAAGAGAGAGAGACAGAGAGAGACGGAGAGAGAGAGACAAAGAGAGAGACAGAGAGACAGACAGACAGACAGACAGACAGACAGACAGACAGACAGACAGACAGACAGACAGACAGACAGACAAGACAGACAGGGACTGAGACAGAGACAGAGAGAAAGATAGAGAAAGAGGAAGATAGATAGATAGATAGATAGATAGATAGATAGATAGATAGATAGATAGATAGATAGATAGATAGACAGATAGACAGATACAGAGAGAGACAGATAGACAGATACAGAGAGAGAGAGAGAGAGAGAGAGAGAGAGAGAGAGAGAGGGGGGGGGGGTAGAGAGAGAGAGAGGGAGAGATGACGGGTGGGCCCGCCGAGTCCAGCTCTACTGTTTGAATTTGTTACCCAGTATCCAAAGAGCAAAATACGCCAACAGCTCAATAACATCAGATGCAAAAAGTGACCTAGAGATTAAACAAAAGAGCAGATTGCAATAGCTAAAGAAACTTTCAACAAGATGAAACCTATCCTCTCAAACTCAAAAAGAAATATGACAGTGAACACAAAGATAAACCAATTGAAAGCGCACGATTGTCAAGCCTTCTGTGTGGATACGCGAACTGGACTCTAAACGAGGACACGAAGAGAAGATCGGAAGCCGCCAAAATCTGGTACTTGCAGGAAACTACTCAGCATCTCATGGATCGAGAATAAAAACAAAGATAGGTCACCAAATGGCAGGTTGCGAAGGATCTGTAATTTCATTATAATCAGCTTGATCAGAAACGTAATTGAGATTCATTGGCCATTTAAGTAACTCAAATGAAAGAGAGAAACTGCCGCTGTTCGGAAAGTTAGGGGGAAAGAATAGAAGAGGAAGACAAGAGTACAACATACACAGATGGCCAGAACAGTTAAACAAACAACACAAGTGACAATGAGAAACACCGAGCTGATCAAGAAGACAGACACCAGGAAGGAGTGGGGTATCATAATCATCAATATTAGCTCCATACTAAACAGACTAATCTAGATTGGAAAATACAGTCGAAACTGCTCTGGCGGTTACTTTATTAAAGATAACCATCTGTACATACGACCACTTCCCAATTCCCCAATAGCATTTTAAAATATTTTCTTGCGTAATATTGATATAGATTTTAGGTGTTTGAAGTTTCCCCATCTATACAATTTAAATCATTTTTTAAACCTTTAAATGACACTGTGTAAGAAGATCACCTGTAGGCGACAACCCCTTTTTTCTTCGACAATGAGTCAACTGTGCTTGGTCTTTCCTTAATAGGGCGTCAGAATAGGCTCAGGCCGCAGTGTCAGTTTACTCTGTGAATACAATGTAGTTCTGTAGTGTGTAAGGCTGACAGGTCGTGTAGGCTCACTATAAATAAAGCATTGTGTTGGTTGAGGCAATCGATAAAACTTTCTCTTATTCTCTGTCTCTCTCTCTATATCTCACTGTCTCTCTCTCTCCCCCCCCCTCTCTCTCTCTCTCTCTCTGTGTATGTGTGTTTCTCTCTCTCTCTCTCTCTCTCTCTCTCTCTCTCTCTCTCTCTCTCTCTCTCTCCCTCTCTCTCCGTCTTTCAGTCTCTCAGAGTCTCTATCTCCCCCTTTTTCAGTCTGTCTATCTCTCTCTCTGTGTGTGTGTGTGTGTGTGTGTGTGTGTGTGTGTGTGAGGGTGTGTGTGTGTGTGTGTTAAAATAATATCATGTTCTGGCCGATATGCCTACAACAGCCGTCGCTTTTTGTACTCGAACCCCCTTCAACTTAAAAAAAAAGTAATTTTAAATAAAAGTATAACCCCAAAAACCAAAACAAAAGCAGCCCCCCTCCCCACAACGGGTACATAAAAAAGAAATACACTATTCTCCAGCTAACCTTAAAGGACGCATGGTATAATAAGGGGTTGCGTTGTAGAATTGAGGTCTTGGGATCTTCAAAACGACAAGCAATATTGTTGAAGCGGCGTTTCGAAGGATGCTCACTTGGGTTTGTTATTAAGTTAGACACGATGTCCTTAATTTTAAACAACAAAACAAAAACAATAACTGCTCATTGCACATTGGCAACTAGCATTGTTATCTTTGAAAGACTGTCTGTATTGACATTGGTGTGGTATTGTGTTTGATGCAACAGTGATACAGTTTCTTAATGATTTGGTAAAAATAAACTTTATCTGCGGGTCGTTAGCGGGTGCTCTTGTGTGGTTTGCTCCTTCTTTCCTATCAAACATCTATCATTCTTATCTCCTCTACTTTTTTGTGTTTGTTACTCTCTCGTAACGCCTCTAATCTTCGGCACTTATATGACCCTATTGTGTTGCAAGTTCCGTAATACACACTTAGATCTACTAAAACTTTAAAAAAAGAGTTTATCCCTCCTTTCAGAACTTACTCAACGTAGTACGTAAGTCCAGGGTTTCCTTCCACACTGATTGATACTATTTTTAATATTTGATTCGTCTTGACATCATGCCTAAAAAATGCTTTGAACTTACCTTAAGAGTAGAGAATCTAAGTTTATTTATACCACTACCATCGCACTCCTTTCGTTCTATGAACATATGGTGATTGGCAAGTGCTCTTGTGTGGTAAGCTTCTTCACTGCTATCAAATATCTATCGTCATTATATCTCTTCATTTTTTACTCTGTTAAGTAGCACTTCTAATCTTTGGCACTTAAAGTGATCTAACTGTGTTGTAAGTGCTGTATTTTACTTTACTTTACTTTACTTTTCCGATCCAGCGGCCATTTGGGCTCTAGCCCTTCGGTCTGTCGGTATGGCAAAGAATTTACAGGTTTTGTAAGTGCTGTAAAACTCTTATCAAAACTAAATTCAAATTGATATTGTCTCTTGGGAAACGAGAATTGCTTCCAGGCCGAGAATAATAGTTGACTGACTTGAACAATCAATGCCAGCCCTCCCCGTTTTCCTTCCCCCCTCTCATAGTTGTTCTGGCAGACTGTCAAGTGTTCAAGGGTTTAGTTGCAGCAGTGTGCAGCAAGCCAGGTACTTTTGACGTTCGGTATCGCTCTACACTCAGCTCTCGTGTTCGCGAGCTAATAAATCTTTGGCAAGCTGTTAACGTGTACTTAGCCCAGAAAGCACAATTTTGCTGCAGAGAAAGAGAGAGAGAGAGAGAGAGAGAGAGAGAGAGAGAGAGAGAGAGAGAGAGAGAGAGAGAGAGAGAGAGGGCGAGAGAGAGAGAGAGAGAGAGAGAGAGAGGGCGAGAGAGAGAGAGAGAGAGAGAGAGAGAGAGAGAGAGAGAGAGAGAGAGAGAGAGACTGTATCGTTGTTTAACACTTGTACCTAAGTAGTTGTAGTAGTATGTATTTATTGTTCTCGCTTTTTCAGAATTCCGAATCTAAATTTCGACAAAATATTTTTGGGCACACGCAACGGACACCCCAGATTTTAAAAAATGCAATGCTAAAAAAAAAAAATAAAGACTCAAAATATTGGTCTTAGTATATTATTTTAACAGCTGATCGATGAACTGCTATCTTGTACTCCGATGTTGTACTTACGGCAGAATCAGTCACAGATTTCAAGACCGTTGAAATATTTCCCATTTGAGCCCATGATGATTACTGGTGTTAACGTCTATGGTCTTTAAAATTTGTGACCTGCGTAATCTAGTCAGGAACTGGTAGAATATCACCTGTCGTGTGGGACATTAATTGGTAAAAGTTAACTTTAGCCCTCTATTCAGACATAATGTGTCCTAGTTCGTTCTTTCGGGGTCTCCACTCTCTGTGTGGGGTGAGCCGCCGTGACGTCATGCAAGAGAGATCCTTCTAATTTATTTTTAAAAGTCGTTTTTTTTGGGGGGGGGGGGGGGATTGGGGGTGAAATTTACTGTTACCGAAGATTTCATGTTAACAGCCTACGCAGGCAGGGAAATAGTCTTGTCGTTTCGTAGAAGCGAAACGGATAAATCAATCCTAGAAATATGAAAATGCTTTGAATTCATGTAACAAATCTGGTTAAGATAAAAAGATAGTTTGTATCTGAGTGCGGCTCCCGACACTACGTAGCTAAATGCATGTTAGAAGAGAGCTGGAGAACATCCCCAACAATCCAAGTTCTGGAACGCCCTGTTAGGGATTCGAATTAGGGTCAGCTGCACTATAGTCCAACCCAATATCAATATGATACTCGGAGCCCATTGTGGTATGTACTGTTATATAGGTACAGGTTCGTGTGCAATCTACACTTTCGCTATCAGCTTTTCATTTGTTCAGAAAGTCGGCAGGCTCCATTTTGCACCCCCCCATACATACAGACACACTCACACCCTCTCTCTCTCTCTCTCAACACATACACACAACACACACACACACACACACACACACACACACACACACACACACACACACACACGCGCGCGCGCGCATACACCCACTGTGAAGATATTACGCTCAGACAAACAGAACTTCTCAGTTGCCTGCATTATGCACTCTATCTGAGACTCTGAGGAATATACAGAGCTCTTTCATAACAGACTGTTAATCAAGTGATCGAGAAAAAATCGATTACAGTTTATTGATTTCTGCTTCTCTCGAGCTCTGCGCGCATTAACCGCTTATTGAAGAAGGCTGCCTGCAAAGTCTATGCGCTTCAACTGGCACGGTTTAGGTCTTAGATATATTTTCTCGTGGCTCGCTGGGTCTCTGAGGACTGTATTGGCTTGCTTGGGCAAATAGTGGGTAGCTGGCTCACTGTCGCTGTGTTGGCCTGTTGTCATGCGAGGCTCAGGGAACACAGGCTCAGCCTAGATCGCTCGGGACCGAGGTATCCATTTTGGCCACTGGCAGAGAGACGACTTAGGATTCGTGCTGACGGAAGTAAGTACTGGATTAATTGACACTGATTTTATTTTTGAATTCTTGATTCTTTTTTTTATTTTTTAAATATTTAAAAAAAAAACTGTTTCTTTCAAATTTAGTGTTGATGAGTTGTCAATTTTATTTCATTTTGTTTTGCAATCTTAATCTTTTATTGTGTGTTTTGCGTTATCAAAAGTCAGGACGTTAAGCGTCTATTTGGAAATCATTATAACCTTAACAACAATAGCATACTGTTTTGGTAGGATGAAGTGTCAATTTTAAGGGAATGAAGATGCGGGGTACTTAAGAAATCTTATCTTTAGTAGTTAAAGAACAGTTCACCTGTATCAAAACAATTCATGTTGCACAATGAAGAAAGAAATATAAGACGTAATTTACCATGCCATTCATTATTGCTTTAAGTTCCATGCCTGTGTCCCTTTCTTTTTACCTTTTCATCCTTCGTATTCCTCGCCTCTTCTACCCTCTCTCTTTCTCTCTCTCTCTCCCTTCTCTCTCTCTTTCTCCCCCCCCCCTCTCTCTCTCTCTCTCTCTCTCTCTCTCTCTTTCTCTCTCTTCCCTCTCTTTTCATCTCGTTTGGTTATAATTTAGTCATTCATTTAGATAATCTTTTACAAAGTTTGATCTCTTGTAATTATACAATTTATCTTTTCGTTTATTTGCTTCTGTAACTTCCAACAATGAATGTAATCAAGTTTATTAGTTAGTCTACAGTGCTTGATTCAGGTCACATGGCAGCTAAGACTCCTAACTAAACGTTTGCTATTCAAAGATGGGAATGGTAAGACCAGGAACATCATGATAATACCAATAGCGATATGAGGGGAACATAATTTGATTAAATCAATAACAACAACAAGAACAAAAACAACAACAACAACAACAACAACAACAACAACAACAACAACAACCACACAGACAAACTAAGACAACTAGGCCTAGTCAATAAGCAATCTACATAGGCTCCGGAGACATCTCAAGCTCAACTTTGCTTTGAAAAAAAAAGTCAACTATACCACATCACAGACTATATTATTTAGCTATTTGAAATAGAGTGAAATATACGACACAACCTATATTTCATTATGAGAAAAAGAGTGAAACATATGACTCTACCTGCATTTCCTAAAGAGAAAAAGAGTAAAATAATACAGTATTATATAACACAAACTATATTTCGCTATAAGAAAAAAAAGAGTAAACTGTATGACGTAGATATTTCGACAGTATTTGCGCAACTGTTCACTTCCAGTTTATTCATAATGAGAGAGGAAAGAAGCCCATGAAAATGGTACAATATGTTAAAACAGAATATATGTTTCACTTTATTGTATGGATTGTGAACAAGATCCTGGAATATTGTTCTACAAAGCAACAGTTTGATATTGTGTAATTCCAATGCAAAACGTTTTCCACAAGGAGATCTACACCTACACCCATAATTAGGAAGAAAATACATATTGAGCCCGTCAACCAGTAGTTCAAAGCTAAACATAAATAAGAATTTGTTTGCTCTTGAAGTTTCAGTTTTGCAAACAAAGGTTTTACGAAACATGCTCAAATGTTGTTTTTACGTAATCAAATTGTGCGTTCTAAAATTATTGGCCATTCCCCCACGGATGTGCTCTCGATAGAAGTGAATTGATAAGTAGATCTAGGCCTAGGAAGAAGAGAGATAGGACAAGGGAACTGTTGTCGATATGTTATAGAGTACTGTCTCTGGGATATGGAGGAGAATCATCGGACAACGAGACGGGAACTGTCCTCTTTAGATATTGATCGCATACAGTGGCGATCGCATGCAGAGTGGTATTAACCCTATCCGTACGTAGAAATCTAGTGTTTTACTATCGTATTCATACGACGTGGGGAACTCTGTGTCCTCACTTTCTAAAAGAGGATATTTACTCGTTAATTCGATCCGTACGCTTTGCAGAGCACTCTGTCAAAATGATTTTTTAAAAAGAAATACTGAAAGTTTCAAAGACATCTTCGCGCTAGAAGTATTCTAAAATGTGAAGAATACAACCCCGGGGGTACAAAATGACCCCAGGCTTACGGATAGGGATAAAGCATCCCCCTACATGCTCAGCCTCAGGTGCATTGCATCAAGGGCAGGCCCAGGGAAAGAATATACTATAGCGCTGTCACTAAGGTTTGGAGACACTAGATCAGGTTCAACAGGTCCTTACGTTAAAGATATTACGTTACCTTAGAATTACAAACTTCTATCTGCAGAAACTTGACGTAAAAAAAATGCTGAGTTTCATATGTCAAGCTTTTAAAAAAATGCAATTCTTTAAATTATTTTGGTAACGACTCCGAATAATCTTACGATTTTGATAGAGCAGTTGCTGACTTCAGGGTCTTTGTAGCTCAAAACCGTCAAAAATGCTAGAGAGAGAGAGAGAGAGAGAGAGAGAGAGAGAGAGAGAGAGAGAGAGTGGCGAGAGCTTTGTAAACTAAGGTACCAACTAGTACCAACACAAGGCTTCTGGGCATTTCAGCTCATTATTTTCCACCCTTGAGTTAAACTCTCTTTATCACTCAGGACAAATTATTAGAACTGGGTTTCACACAGGAAAAGACGTTTTTATTTCAAAGGGACAAAAAAAGAGGCTAAACAAGGGGCATTATTAAAATTAAACCATTACCTTCTAATAGACCCCCATTGAAGACAACTTTCTAAAAGACAGCAACGTATACCGGGCTGTCCTGTGTAAGAAAAATGTACTCCGTTCTGGGAAATAGTTTATATTTGTATCGAAAGGTATCTTGTTGAGGACTAGGATACAATATAATTCATTCTAGCATCAGTTTTATTTGTCCCAAAGAACGGTTACTGCCTGAGTGTTTATAGACAAGGTATAATGAACCTACCTGTGAAAAGGGAAGTAACTAATAAAGGAATCCAAATTTATCAAGCTTGGCAGAGTTTTATTTATTCCTCTTTCATTTCGGAAGACAGTTCTAGGAATGGATTTTGTTTTGCAGTGTGAAGTTGACAGACAACTCTGAAGGGTGAATATCTTTATAGAACTGGACGGGGCTGTATGAACACATTGAAATCATCTTCAAATAAAAGCCATGATGTGCAAAATACCCACTTTATAAAGAAGTCAATGTGCGTTCACATAATATTCTTGCTTAATAATAATAATGATAATAATAAATAATAAATATTGAACAAATGTACCATCTAGTGGTCTATTATTAAGAAGGAATATCGTTAGGGTTCGTCTGTTCTGGTTAGGACTGTGGCCAGAGAAGCTATTCATATAAAACTATAGTTTTAAAAGTAATGGCTTGAAAATTACGGTCGAACTGGCATTTACAAAACTGTTTTGCATTTAGCAATTTAGGACCTAGTTAGTACAAAACGTTGGTAAAAGCCTAAGACTAGTTGATGATGTTTACTGACAGCGCTATTGTATATTCTTATCCAGGCTGGGACGAGAGGTAGAGCCCTATTGACCTTATCATCAGCCCTCCAAGGCAGAACGCACGCACCACGCCCCTCTGTCAGCCATCATGTCTAATTTTCGCACGCTGGTCCACCCACCAGCAGTAGATACGCCCACTCGGCTAGAGCAACGCCCTCCTATTTCCCAGAGCGGGGGCTCTTTCCTGGCCACACAGAAAGGCTGGCCTCCCTACATGCCTGGCTATTTCGGCCCCTACTCGCTGCCTCCTAGAAAACCCTCGGCCATTTTGGATCTTCGCGACAAGCGGTACGGGAAAGAGGCGCGAGTGGGAAATCCCCGTTGGGCAGAAGGTTCCTGGCCCCTCCCCTACCACACCTTGTATTTCGACCCTCAGACTGAGGGAGACTGGAAGCACTTCGAGCGCTTCATGCCTCCGGGACAGATGGTACGTCGGAGATGGCCGCAGGAGCCTCTGGAAGAAATCCGCTTCCCAGAGCGAGGCCTTGCCGACCCAAGTCACTTGAACAGGAAGAACTATCGCGGCTACCACTTCTTGCCCAACTACTCCCGGCGCTATGTGGTCGGCGACCCCCGCGCGCCCTGGAACAAGGCAGGCGACTTCACATACACGTCCTGGTCCACTGTGCTACAACAGGCGGACTTTTAGACCCGTACTGTTACGTTGGCAGCACTGTCGTTGGGATCTGTACGGATAGAGGTTGTGGTGCTTACCATAATCCATCAGCCAACGAAAGACTGAGCTTGAGCGCCATGTACATAACACTGTATACAGAAAACAATGAGTTTAAAGCACATCAAATACGTTTTCTTTTGCTTTCAATCAAGATATCGTGTTTCTTTTCACACAAGAAAAAGACATATCAGTCTAGCCGTTTACACATTCTTGAGCGTGCGGTTGGTAGTCTTCAATCAATACGTCCCAAATGGCCCGATATCGAGATACACCTTTGGGCGCTGTCTCATAGGACTTGTTTAATCTGAGAACTGTCTAAAAATATTGTATTGTATATATAATAACGCAGATTTACTGCGTCCAGAAATTCACAATATTTAAGGACATTATTTCGAGTGAAACAAAAGTATTTCATCTACTTTCGCCATTTATTTTGTTAAATGGAGAGAAGGCTTTGCATCATTCTTTGATGTCGTATCTCTCTAGATCTATAGTCAACATAATAAAAATAAGTGAAAAAATAGCTCTCTGACCTGAATTGTTATGTTTTGAGTGAGAGACGTATTTTGCAACATGAATAAGTGGGTTGTTTCTATTTTTAGCTGAAAGTAGGTTTTCAGTGTGAGTGTGTGTTTGTATGCGAATCTCTCTTTCCCTTCCTTTCGTTTTCTGCTTTTCCCCTCTCTCTCCATCCCTCTTTCTCTTTCTTCTCTCTCTCGTCCTAATTCTCCTTTTCTCTCGGTTTACGTTTGTTGGTTTGTGTGTTTGTGGTATGTGTGTATGTGTGCGTGCGTGTGAATGTGTGTGTGTGTGTGTCTCTCTCTCTCTGTGTATGTGTGTGTATGTGTATGATTGTGTGTATGTCTCTCTCTCTTTCTGTGTGCGTTTGTGTGTGCGCGTGTGTGCGTGTATGTGTGTGTGTGTGTGTGTGTGTGTGTGTGTGTTCGTATGCGTGCGTGTAAGCACTTGAGTTCGTGTTTGCGTATTCTGCCAAAGAGTGCAAAAGCAAAGCCTATCCGCATTAGATAAGGGATTCTGGCTCTGTCCAGAAACCATTGACTTTAAACCTATCGTTCACTGATGAAGTTGCAGTAGCTGAATCTGAAAGGATCTGTAACGTGTCTATATCTTGTATTGTAAACCTACCACTCTACCAGTTATTACTGATTCAGTTTCATTTTTGACCTGATGGTGTCTCACAAAAAAGACAACATGCACCAAATGAACATTGCCAGCACAATTATATCTAAAATCAGTATTGTGAGTGGTTGGCAGGTGCTCTGGTGTGGTTTGCTTCTTCTTTCCTATCAAACTCCCATCCTTCTTTTTTATGTTTGTTACTCTCTTGTAACACATCTAATCTTCTGGCGCTCATATGACCTTATGCTTTTGTGAGCGCCGTAAAACCTCTATTGAAACAAACAAAATCAATATGGCAATGGGAAGTGCATGAGGCTATTATGTTATGGCATTATGTCACAAAAATGTTCGGGTTAAGGCAAGAACTTCGATTCCCGTGTGGGGAGAACTTTAAATATCCTCTCCCCGTCTTTCTGCAAGGACTTTGTAACACTATTCCTCTCAGCCCGGGTAGGCTCCAACTGGCAGGGTCGAAGCCTCCCTCTTAAATGATCTATATTGTGTTGACGGATGGCACACATTTAATCACCTACACTTGGTCGCTTTTAAGCACAAGGGGGTATCTCGAACAATGCTGTTATGAAAAAATCGAAGGTAAAGTTTTTGCCCCTTGTTCAGTTTCTTTGAAAGACTAGGAGAGTTTCTCTATAACCGAACAAATATACACACCAATGATACCAAACTTCTCATATAGGTAGGGCAATGCCCACTTTTGGTGTAGGTCAAGATTTCTGGAAACCCCCGAAATCTAGGTTAACCCGCTTGTGTTTAAATGCGACCATTTGAACACTAATAAAGCAACACAAATTCAGTTCCTTTTTGCCATAATAGTCTCTTAGAGAAAATAAAGACAACACACATGGAGGTGAAGTTACGGTAAAAAAAATAATGCACCCGTTAAGGCAAAGTCAACAGTAAAGGGGTTACAAAACACAAAGAATATAATTTATAGTGAAATCACAGTACTTTGAAATCTACAAACTTGTTTGTTTACAACCTTTATTTCTGTTTTTGTCGTCGTTTGACGATGAAAAAATACGCGACGGGTGTGATTTATTAAATTTCCTTATAGCTGTAATAATAGTAGTTTATTATATCTGCAATGAACTTCAAAAGCCTGTAAGCTTAAACAGACCACTTATATCACAGAATCTAAAAATAATGGAAATATTGATAATGAGGGAGAGTACATATTTTGGACGTTTATACAGTTGTTCGTTGATTCCTGAGGAGCCTTTCTTTAGAGAGTGAACTTCTCATAATATGATATACATGACTACAGTTGAAGCGTCGTTTTCCAAAACTCAGTAAGTCATTTTTGACAAGCGTCTGATTTTACCACGATTCCTCACATGTTTATAATATAAACATGACGAATTTATGTATTTTTATATGTGCACATGAGCATAATATTATTATGATTTATGTATTTTTGAGGCATCGTGGTGAAACTAGGTGCTTGTCAAAATTGACTTACCGAGTTTTGGAAAAACCATTATTCAATTAATGTGGATCATTGGGAGATTGTAGGGCGATAATTTCTTTTATTGGGGGCTTGGGG